GTATTTAAAAATGCAGGGCATCCGATACAGTTTCATGTCATTGTCATTTTCATAATTTTGATTGGCCTGGGCTAGTTATAAAAGAATAAAACATAGGTCACCGTGCTTGTTTTCGAGAAAACTGAGGCTGAAAAGTGGGGATTGTTGCACTTTTGTAAAAAAGTAAAGCAAAGTTATAAAATTTTTTGAGTAGATATATTCTTCGTCATAAATTGATTGGATTCAATCTGATGCTGTGATTAGTTAAAATAAGGGGAAAATAAATCCCCACGAGAATGACTAGTTAATATTTCAAGCCATGCTTAAAATTACGGATAAGATGCTCAAAGTGGGATATTTTTTTAGTTTATTTTTATGTGGAAATCGAGAGGTTCTTATATAGTTATTTTTCTCATAGTGCTATTATACATTAACTGCCTTTTGCGTAATTTAAGGACTCGCGGCAATTTTGAGCTTGACATTCAGGTACCATACACACTCGTGTATGATTATTGAAGACAATATGTTGACCTCTAGATGTTGGTTTTTGTTGTTGTTTAGTTTGGTGGGCTGCTGTTTCATCGGCATACCCCTAAAAAATACTAGTATTCACATTGAAATCTATAATTTTCAGAATTTCACATTAATTCATAAAATCAAATTGTAAATTATAGAAAATATCGTTCTTATTACCGAAAATAATACGTATGACGTCCCGTAGAAAGTGACGTTTTGATGAAATTCGAACGCTTGACGTCGCGCCAAGCATTCGGAATCCTCAGGTTTTATCCATGCAGTGCTATTTAAAAAAATTACCCACTCACCCCTACCTTTCCTTCAACAATTTTGATTACATATAATTTAGATTGTCATATTTGAAAATCTTTTAAACTCCTTTCTATATTTCATTGTTTTTGAAAGAAAAAAATGTACCGGTTAAATTTAAGAAAAATCTACAGAAAATTATTTCCCGCCAAATTTTCAATGGGTTATATCTCAAAAACAAGCAATTATATATAACAGTCTTCGAAAAAGCCCGTTACTTTAAAAATGAATAGCGAATATCCTTAACGTCAAACTACTCAAACCAGTAAAATAATAAACAGGCAGTAAATCTACAACTTTCACAAAACAATTTATAGTTCACTTTTTTCAATATATTATCACGAGCAAGATTAAAGTCGTATTGAATCGGGCGCACTGCATTTACGCCAATTTTTACAAAATTCAAACTTTCTTTTGCGCCACAAGTTTATATTTCATTTGCGCCAAAAAATAAAAACCACATTTGCACCATTTTACAGGTAACATATATGAAAAAATTTAGATATTCATTGCTTCATCGTGAATAAGATTTTTGTTGTAAGAGTATTTTCCTAGGTAACTAATTAAGTTGATACTCATATAAAACTGTAGGTCACGTAGGTTTGAAACTATATAGTGATCCCATGTATATCCACTTCATTTGAACTTTGGTGGATAGTTGTCTCATTTGCAATAAAACCACATCTCCTTATTTCTATATAGATGAGATAAGTCTGTAATTTTTAATGACCACACATATAAGTCATCCAGTGTACATGAGTACATCCATAGCCATTGCTTACCAGCCTTAATTCAGAACAACGGAAGTTTTGGTTTTACTCTAGTGTATAGACTATATATAGTGCTTTCTTTTAGGTTTTATGATCTCTTTGACTGAGTTTTAAAGTTAGCGTGAAAAGTCTCTTATTAAGAAAGTATCTGTGTATAGTGCTTTGACTGAGGTTAAGATGACTGATTTAGGAGGAATATGTTTTATTATGCAATCAAAAAAACTGTTAAAGTTACTATTTAAAGTCTCTTTTAGATAAAACTATTTTAATAATATTTACCTGGGGCCGTGTCAATGAATTTGTCCTTGGACTAGACCGTGTCTAAGGATGGTCTTAGGACACGTCTTAGCCCTAAGTCAGATTAACAGAAGTCTCCTTAAATAAGATATGTCCTAAACTTGGTCCTAAAGTTAGGATATATACACAGGGACCGTGTCATCGAAGGTGTCCTAGGACTAAGATATGTCCTAAGATAATCTTAGAGAATTTTGCTCTTAGCCGTGTTTCGAAAAGATCTTATCTTAGGATATGTTCTAATTTTGGTCCCAACTTTAGGACTACTAATAAGCTGTCTTAGGATAGTATTTCTATTTGTATCAATCTGATAAGTTAAGCCTTTTTCAACTGATTTTTATAGTTCGTTCTTATGTTGTACTGTTACACCACTGTCCCAGGTTAGGGGAGGGTTGGGATCCCGCAAACATGTTTAACCCCGCCACATTCTGTATGTATGTGCCTGTCCAAAGTCAGGAGCCTGTAATTCAGTGGTTGTTGTTTGTTGATACGTTACATATTTGTTTTTCGTTCATTTTTTGTACATAAATTAGGCCGTTAGTTTTCTCGTTTGAATTGTTTTACATTTGTCATTTCAGGGCCTTTTAGTTTAAACATATTTTATTTGCTAAATATCAGCAAAATGGATGAGACACAAGTAAATCATACTTATGAAGTCTTCTCCATATTACAATACAAGTATATATACAATAATAACATTATGAGCATGCATGTAAAGCTAACAAATTCATTAAATATTATACGAACTATAAATAAAAAGAAAAAAAGAACAAGAAGAATGGAAAAGGAGGAAAAGAAAAAGAAGCAAATTATATTTTCTGTGATGTTGACTTAGGTTTGATGGTGATGATCATCCGTGCCGGTAGCAATAATATTTTATGAAGGTACTAGAAATCTGTTAGACCTTTTAATAAAATCTTGAACATGTTTGAAAATTAGGAGATTTTGTTCATTTGAAAGTTCAAGATCTCCGCAAGTTAATAGTTTAGTATCAATAATAAAGTTTTCAGTAAGCCAATTAAGATTGTTAAGTAAAATTTCTCTACACGTAGTGTATTTTGGGCAAACTAAAAGAAAATGATGAACATCCTCAATATCAGACCCACACTGACACGAAGGATCCAGTATAATGTTAGCTTTGAAAAGGTCAGAGTTCAAAAATGAAGCGGAACATCGCAATTGAGTTAAAATAATATTCAGTTTTCTCGGACCGTACATATAATACGGCGCAACTCTACTCTGAACACTTTCATTTTTCAATTCTCTCTTAAATTTAGCTATAGAGTCGGTGTTCCGAATTTTTAAGTCAAGCTTATTCCATTCTCGTATTGTGGATGGAATAAAAGATTCAGTGGTAAGGGAAAGTCTACAAAATGGAACAATGATATTTTGACCGTTTCGCAACGGATAGTTGGTTGTACTTTGTATACATGGGGGGACAAGATTACACAGGTACTGAGGTGCATGTTTTTTATTTATATTATAAAACATCTGTAATTTTCTTCTTCTTCGTCTTTCATATAAAGATTCCCAGCCAACCTCAGAGTACAGAGTATCAGTTTTAGTGAAGATTGGTAGACCTGTTACAATTCTTGCGGCTTCCAATTGCAAATTTTCTAATTTATTTGAATAACGTATCCCACAATTATCCCACACTTCAGGGGCCTTTTATAGCTGACTATGCGGTATGGGCTTTGCTCGTTGTTGAAGGCCGTACGGTGACCTATAGTTGTTAATTTCTGTGTCATTTGGTTTCTTGTGGAGAGTGGTCTCATTGGTAATCATACCACAACTTCTTTTAAAAACACAGAGTGGACGTGGCAGGGTACTTGTATATCCCAACAACAAAAAGACTGATCTGAGAGTACTCGCAGTTACTGACAGCTAGTTCAAAGCCACTAACAACTAATAAAAAAAATCATGCATCTAAGACTAAATTATTAATCAGTACACATCCAATGGATTTAGTGTAAAGACGTCAGTCAGAGAAAAACATGACCATGAGCAATGCCAAGATACAGGTATCGACAGATTGAAGATCCATGACAATTTTAACTTTTAGGATAACTTTATGATGTCTAGCATATAAACAAACATAGCTGTCGCCATCATGCACTGTGATGTGTCTGTGTCTGTAAAATTCGGACTTCTTTTCTTACTCATTGTGTAAAAAATATGTTTAGAGCCTAAACACTTTCCTAAACACATTTATGAAACCTAGTGTTGACATGTTTTAAATCTAAACATGTTTAATATTTAATGTGCTAACAGCCTAAACGTGTCAAGCTATAAAGTGCTTCAGGAATCTGATGTTCAGTAGTTGTCGTTTGTTGATGTGTTTCATAAGTGTTTCTCGTTTCTCGTTTTTTATATAGATTAGACCGTTGGTTTTCCCGTTTGAATGGTTTTACACTAGTAATTTTTTGTGGCCCTTTATAGCTTACTGTTCGGTGTGAGCCAAGGCTCCGTGTTGAAGACCGTACTGTGACCTACAATGGTTTACTTTTATAAATTTTGACTTGGATGGAGAGTTGTCTCATTGGCACTCATATCACATCTTCTTATATCTACTTAGACTGTAAACATGTTTAGCTGTAAAGCGTTTAGACTAGAAACACGTTTAGCTAAAAAAAAGTGCTTAGACTGTAAACATATTTAGCTGTGAATTGTTGTATCTGGAAACATGTTTAGCTGAGAAGTGTTTTGTCTGGAAACACGTTTAGCTGTGAAGTGTTTTGAATGTAAACATGTTTAGACCATAAAGGGTCGTGAAGAAACATGTTTATCATTTTATTGTGAGAAGCCGTTACTTCATTAGGCCCCAATTCAACTAATATTCCGGAAGGCTTGACTGTAAAACGTATGATAGCTCTCAATAAAACAGGTTTTCATACCATCACAAAAAGGAGCCAGTGCATCAAACTAAGAAACTGGAATTTCCATATCAAATTGAATGTGACCAATACCTTTTCAATCTCAATGAGTTTTTTCTTTAATTCAATTCACGTCATTCGACTATTGCATTTTTTCTTCATTTCAAATATTCGTAAAACAGTCTAGAACTTTTGAAATGAAATTATCATTATACTTATTCTAGCTTTAAAAACAAAATTACAACATATATAACGAAGGAATTTATGTTATCATTTATTTCCAGTTTATCATTGAACACAATCAAAAATAAATTCATATCAAGGTACATGTACATAATATTGACCAATCTTCTACTTGTACCCCATCCCTACAACAAAACAATTTGAAAATGTCCTGTTTTCATTTTACAGGTCAATAAGAGCTTCTTCTTTCTTAGAACCCAACTGCTGGTCAATGGCCTGAAATATAGAAAAAAATATTGATAAGCAACTAAGTAGAATTAATCTAAAAATATAAGAATACGAACTACAACACCAAAAAGTAAAAGCATGATTTAAGATCCAGAAACAACATTAGGACCGTGGTATAAAAACATAAATTTACTGATGAATCAATTGATATTTTTTAATATAAAACTTCTTTTCATGCTTAATATTATTCATTTGATCAAATATATATTGGCATTTTTAAAATCAAATACACTTTTGATTCTTACCTAGCAGCATATTTGCTACTGTTCTTTATCTCCTCTTTTAGCATGCCAAGACAGATGATGATTTCCTCTGCACTTCTCTCATCTAGAATAAAACAATACATATCAATAAAATTATAAAAAAAATCAGAACCGCTTATAACTATTGAAATAAACAAGCATCTTTCTATTTATATTGAGGAAATGTTGATTGTGCATATCGGAAGTGCTTACGAAAACAATGAACTCGATATGACACTGGATTTGCGAATGATGCACCTCATCCTGATAAGACTCGGCAGATTCCGCTACCCTTCATGTTCCATTATAATCTGCCGAGGAGTACCGAACGAAAATTATCCTCACAAACTCCTTTCCAAGAACATATATAAATAAAAAAATAAATGCAAACTTGCATGAAAGAACATTAAACAACTCTAATCATCTATACACAAGATAGTTTGAACACTTAAAGCTCTTACAAGCACTTGTTTCGTGGGATGGTACACCCTTTTCTCTCCTGCATTGACTATACGGTAGTGTACTTGTAAATAATGCTTATAAATGTCAATAATCATTTAAAATTGGCAGTACAAAATAAAAGATAGTATAATCATAACTCCTTACCTTTCTGAAACAGTCAAGTTACGGTCAGTTATGGTCAGAAGTAAACAGTGTGGCCTTTGACTTCGGGTTCTTTGTTTCTTCTTCCCGCTCAAAAATTAGCACGTGATATGAATGCCGTATTCGGCCTAAATGTGTTTTAATTCTAAACTTGTTTAGGAAAGTGTCTAAATATTGAAAGTGCTTAGAATTTAAACACGTTTAGCTTTATATACTTGACAAAGTAGCTAAACATGTTTTGCACAGCAACATGTTTATTGAAAAGTGCTGAGAGCCAAAACATGTTTATTGCGAAGTGCTGAGAGCCAAAACAAGTTTATTTTTTTATGTTCAGAAATTAAACACTTTCCTAAGCACATAAGTCTTGCAACACGTTTAAATTCTAAGCACAATTTTTACAGTGTATATACAGCAATACAAAATAGATAATTTATGTCCTGAGTTTTTATACCAAGATTACACGAGATTCCCCTTTGAACTAAAAAATCTAAACAGCACTTAGAACTACGATATGACATCTTTGTTAAGACTATCTTAGGATACCTTCGATGTACAGTCTGAGATATATCATAAGACAGTCCTATAATTTGTCCTAAGATATATCTTAAGACAAATCTTATGACACTTTCGATGACACGGCCCCAGGGGTGTCTTAGGATGGTATGAGAGTAGTCTTAACAGTTACGATGTCATAAGTCGAAAAAGAAACATTAAATATATATATTATATATATATCTATATAAACAAGTCTAAATTGAAAACAACGTTCAAACGTATAATTGCGTTGGATAAAAACCGCAATTTTTATACGCGTGCATGTAAAACAAATTTCTTGGTAGAGGGGTCTAAATACAGCACAAACAACATTTTCGAAAAGACCAAAAAAGTGAAATAGTATATTTAACAAAACATATTTGACTAACAGGTCGAACAACGGATGTTCTTAAACCCTGCTGACTGCCATTGGGTATGCCAAATAAATTGATCACCAGATGTAACAAAATGGATCTTAATAATAATTTAATACCAAACAGAAAACAATATATATGACATAAACTTCATAATAAAAATACTAATACAATATAAAACTATTATACTGTTATAAGAATTAAACTGATTAAACAAAATATTCTTCAACATAAGTTTTTCAAGGGAACTTTCATTTTTTACCTGGGAAAAAGGGGGGGGGGGGGGGGGGGGGAGGGGCTGGTCAAGATGAAGGTGAATCTTAAAGCATATAAGATTCAATTGTGTGACATTATTTTAAATTTGTAGACTAATTTGGTCCATAAATCAACATTGAGGTTTAGAGTACTAAGTATTCAGTTTGAGTTTTAGAAAAAAATAAGCTGAAGTATATTTAACAATTTCATAGTATTACGCTCTTTTGAAATAATTCGTGCTGCCCTTTTGGAAGCCAAAAAATTCTATCATTATTAGCAAAATGTTTGCACCTGACCAATCTGTTTGAACAATAATAATTGAATTGTGGAAAACATTTGAATTTCGGTTTCAGAAAAAAACGGACTTCTTTTCTTACTAAGGCTGATTCAATACATGTATAAATAGCTAAAATTGCATGCATCAGAAATAAAGTCTGTAACAAGGTTTTGTAAACTTTTAATTATACATCAAAATATATGCCATTTATTTCACTAAATATTCTTATTTATTAAAAAAATGTTTTGGGACGGTCCTAAGACAATTGTAGTTAGTTATCAAAGGTTAGGACTGTCCTAAGATAGCTTTGTTTTAATGTTAAGACATGCCTCAAATTCGTCCGCTAAAAAAAACATCCTAAATTATGTCCTAAGACATATCTTAGGACATATCCTAGGATACTTTCATTGACATGGCCTCTATATTATTGGCGCAAATGAAATGTTTTATTTTTGCGCAAATGAAATATGGGTTGGGGCGCAAATCAGAGATGGGCAAATAAAATGCGAATTGACGCAAAAGCAAAGCATCGCTAAAAATCAACCCGTTTTGTTTGTTGCATGCATCAGAAATAAAGTCAGTAACAATAAATGTTTTAGGACGGTCCTAGGACAATTGTAGTTAGATATCAAATGTTAGGACTGTCCTAAGATAGCTTTGTTTTAATGTTAAGACATGCCTCAAATTCGTCCTCTAAGATCATCCTAAATAATGTCCTAAGACATATCTTAGGACATATCCTAGGATACTTTCATTGACATGGCCCCTATATTATTGGCGCAAATGAAATGTTTTATTTTGGCGCAAATGAAATATGGGTTGGGGCGCAAATCAGAGATGAATTTTGGGCAATTAAAATGCGAATTGGCGCAAAAGCAAAGCACCGCTTAAAATCAAACCGTTTTGTTTTCATTATTTATGATTTTAATCAAGGGAAACAGGCTGTGTTTAATTAACAAAGGCTCAAATTTCGATGAAACAAGTACAACTTTAATCTGAACTAGTTTACGATCCATAACAAAGATCAGATGTTACGCTAACCAAATATTACCGGGGTTCCTCGTTTTATAGAAAGAAATAGAGATCAAACAGTTCCTATAAATCTGTATTATGAACAATCTTTGTACAGTGTACCATACCATATGTATTTGTCATGTTTTGTAGATTTTAAAATTATATTTAAAGTGTGTGTGTTTTTTTTTTCCCTTTCCTGTGATTAATATAAAAAGAAGAACACGAGGCATCCAATATAACATCCAAACCATGAATGGACGTGGCTGCTTATCTATACATCCCGCAGATCCAAATGACGCAAGGGAAGATAATTTGAAGAACTGACTATCTTCGTATAGGAAAATGGGCACACCGTTAAAAAGCAAACTTACTGACTGACAGTTAAAATTAAAGCCAAGCATGTTGCTTTCCACTTATGATGCGCTTGTATAAGAAAGTAAAATTAGGTGACTATGCATAGAGAGTATATATATATATATATATATCTCCAGGGCGTGTATTTCCTTGATAGAGGGTTGTCTCTCACAAGGAAGCTATCAAAACCAAGAGTTCCAAGTGGCGACGTTGAAATTGTCCCTTCGTAAATTTCATGGACGCCATCACAAGTTTGTTTACCGTTATGGAATATCCGTTTCACAGATGACAACGGATATGTTCAAACTGCCCCCTTTCCTTCGAATGTGACCTACCGAATGTTTGTACTAACATGAGCAACACGACGGGTCCCACATGTGGATCAGGATCAGCTTAACTTTCCGGAGCACTTGAGATCAACCCAACTGAGTAATTGGTGGGCTTCGTGTTGCTCAGCCTTTGGGTTTCTATGTTGTGTTTTGTGTCCTGCTGTTTTTGTTTTTGTTTTTCTTTTTTTAGCCATGACGTTGTCAGTTTATTTTCGACTTATAAAATTGAATATGCCTATGGTATCCGTCGCCTCTTTTTTGTCCTTTAAGAAATCTACATGGCTTAAGCGCGGATCGTGAATGAACTGCAAAACGTAACTGTTGGATGATGAAAATATCATATTATTGCATAAATGTTTGCTTAACATGTAAGAAGAACCCCATTAGACTTTATTAGATAAAACAAGTCATTTGTATAATGTCGGGCTAATTGTAGGATAAATTTTAAATAATCGTTTGTATGTTTGAACAAAAGTCCATCATTATTTTACTGTATGCATTACTTGAAAAAATGACCCCCTTTTTCCACAAATGTCGCATTAAAACGTGTTAACCCCGACATAAGGATTCTCGAAATATACATAAATAAATTCATGTGAAACAGTGGCGAATATCACTGTCTGATTACTTTTTGTAGCAAGAAAAAGGACAGTCACATGTATTCTAAAGTAACAGTGAAAATAGTCCAAAACATTGACTACCTTAAATATGCTTAACTTTAACTACATGTTCAAATATATTTAAGAACTTAGAAAAAATGAAATAATACAAATTATTCTTTGTTAAAAACTCTACTTCAAACAAGAGTTTGCAACTGTAAAACGGAAATGACCCTTGGTTTTTTTAATGACAATTTTTGTTTGCACACGTTTGATCGACATTTTTCAACTAAGTAGGCATTTATATGGGAAATTACCGTACAAGAAAATAAGGATATGTGGTATAATTGCCAATGAGACAAATATCTACTAAAGTTCAAATGAAGTGAAAGTAAGCAATTATAGGTCACCGTACGGCCTTCACCAATGAGAAAAATCCATTCCGTGTGGTCGGTTATAAAAGGCCCCAACATGAAAAATGTAAAACAATTCAATTGAGAAAATTGACGGCCTAATTTGTAACAAAACTATTTACGAACAACAAACATGACAGACATATTAAAACCTGACTTAGGAAAGGCACATAAAGAATGTGCGGGATTAAACAAGTCTGTGAACACTCAACCCTCTCTTGACCTGGGACAGTTGTGTTACAGCACAACATAAGAACAAACTGTAAAAGCAGTTGCAATCGACCTTACTCAAAAGATCGCTTCAAGGCACAAAACAACTAATATAAAACAATAGACAAAAGCATCGAAATAAGAGTAATCGAGATTACTGAAAGGTAGTTCAACTGAGACAATTTCAACTAATAAATCAATCTTGTTCTCCAAAACTAAAGTATCACTCATTACACATCCAACGGATTAAGTGATAAGACATTCTGAGAAACGCATGCATGACCTTGTGCAATGCCAAAATATTAGTAAACTGTATCGACAGGATGTAGAATCAAACATAGTTATATATTTAGTTATGTTTTAATCTAAAAAAAAACCAATGTTAATGCCAATAAAAACAATATTTGAAGATTTTACTACTGATTTAAATTTATAACGTTTTAAAATAACATTATTTAAAGGATCAATTAATTTACGTGGATCGTATATATATCTAAATGTGCGGGCTTTATAAACCATATTGCTGTATTAGATTAGGTATGATATCCCGTTTATAATAAGAACTCTACAGATACAGCCGACCTTCCCAACCAAATCATTGCATTTTTGAAAGATTTTGGAAAGGTTACAAAACATTTGTGGTAATGAAATTCCTGACTTAAAACTTTATCGGACGGTAAAACATAAATTACGTTCATTGAAACCTAAAACAGGACTACAGTAACGAGCATGGTTAACACATTGTGAAATATGTACAGGTAG